AGTTCAAAAGCAAAAATGGATTGAGAAAAGCAATGAATTGAAAGAAAAAGAAACCGAAGAAGAAAAAGAATTAGCCAACAAAATCAGAGACAGTGTGGCGAAAATTAACCAAAAATTTGCCCAGGTTCGGCTATCTCGGAATACTAATGCTCAGCCAGATAAAGGTTTGGGGGCTAATACTTTACTTTTAATCGGCGGGGGAATAATATTATTTCTAATGGGGGGTCTAGTAAGTTGATTTTTAGTCAAAAAAAAAAAAAAAAAAACAGAAGTCCGGCAAAAGTCGACCATTGAAAATCAACACTTAAAAGCCTTAATTAGAAAAGTCCAAGAGACAGAAACTAAAACATTCTAACCTTTACCTTTTAAAGCAAAAAACAAGGTGGAAAAGAAACGTAAACTCAGTTCAGTTCAAAAAGAGAAGCAAAAATTTTACTTGTCAAAGTCACTAGAGCCACCAAGCAGGAGAAAAATTATTGGGAATTTGGGAAAAAGAAATATTACCTATTGTATAATTAATTTATCTATCTCTCAATAACTCAAACTCAATTCTCGACACTCTTCTCATAAATAGCGTTTGGGGGAAGAAGTAAACAATTGCCTCACAAAATTTTCTTTTAGTCTCCAACAAAATATTAACTTTTATTTTGTTGATAAACCTCAAAAGTGGGCATCATGACAATTTTTGATTACTCTTTTATTGTCTTAATGACTCCAACAACTTAACACAATTAGAACATTTTACTAGGGCAGAAGTCCAACTAGCCCTAATTTTATCGGCTATTTTCATGATAAATTATTTTATTCTCTTTCTTGGTTTTTTCTTTTTTTGCAAGAAGAAGGACAAAATCAAAAGAGATGACAAAAAAGATAAAAGTAAAGAGATGGCTATGTTTTTACTATCTTCCATATGACTATCTACAAAGAAAAAAAAGTAAAATTTTATACAAAAGAAGAAAATTGATAGTTCCTAAAAAAAAGAAACAATAACTTATCTTTCCGACTAGAGAATTTTCAGTCATTTAAATAGCAAAAAGTAATAGTTAAAAAGGAGAAAAAGATAAAAAAGAAAGTGTGAATAATCAAAATTGACTCCCATATTACCATGATCTTACATTATTATTAATTTTATCTGCTTTCTCTTTCTATCAAAATGCTGGATCTCTAATAAATAAAACCATATAAATAATGTAAAAAATAGGAGCGAAAATAATTAATAAAAGGCATAAGAATAACAATTTATCAGTTCAATTAGAAAATTTTCATTCAGACACACTACTACAATAAGTAAGAAAAAAAACAAAAAGTATGATAAAAAGGGTAATCAAAAGTGTTGAAATAAATCCTCCTATTCCCATGCTTACATTATTTTGCAATCTTTTGTCGGAATTTCTATTAATGAATTTCACTGACTTTCGTCATGATTTTTAATTTCTTTGACTTTGTTTTCCACTGCAGAAGTTTTATGCTTCGCTAAATTATCTAATTTTTCATTCGTTTCATTAATTTTGCTTTGCAAATTAATTTCTTCGGTAAAACTAGATGGATCGGGAAAGAAATAAGGCAATGGTGCTTGGGGATCATTCATAAGTAAACTTTCGGCGACCATGCCAATTGCTTTTTTACGTGCTTCTGCTTGTCGAGAAAAGTCGATACCCAGAACTATCTCACTGGCAAAATGTTCGCAGTTTTCTTCAAAGACATCATATTTTCCTTCTTTATAACCTTCTACTATCGCCTTTGCTATATGACTAACTAACTGTATTTTTGTGTTTAAAGGGAATGACGTAATGAAAACGAATTATTGCTCCCCCCGAGGGATTATGCCTTACAAATTCTGACCAACTGTCTTTTCTTGCTTTATTACCAGAAGAACTTGAAGAGAAAGAGGAATCAGGATCATATATGTGAGCAACTTGCCTATTTCCCAAGTAAACAGCAACATGATGCAAACTACTATCTCCAATTCTTCTGCTGACAATATCCAGTGGTTTAATATACTGATCAGGATTGTTTATAGCATCAGAAGGCAAGTCAAATTTTCTAACTCCCGCTTTTTCAAAAGAGTATCCTTCATCGAAACGAAGGGTTAAGGAAGAAATTATTGCCAACATTGGATTTTCTCCATTTAATTCATGTCTTAAATTAGCAGCCTTGTCTTTTGCACTTTTCAAACTATCTCTATCATAACCATTGCTTATTTCAAATGTTTCCAAGGTTTCTGTCATACCTTTATGTGCTGGCTCATAAACTACTAAAAAAACTCTATAATAACCTTTATAATAATTAATTATTGTGGCCGTATTATAATCTGACCATCAAGTTTTAAAGCGAGTAACTTCTTCAATATCTCCTAGAATTTTATCTTTAGTTTCTTTTCTTTGTTTGATTAAAGATGCTAAATAGTTTTGTTGGGAATTAATATTTAAAAACTTGTTAATTTCATCTATTTCTGCTCGGTTAAATCGGTTGGCTCGATAAATTGGGTTATTACTGAGGTTTAAGTTTCCTTCTGGATCAAAATCATTTTCACGAGCATTGCGGTGAATAAGAACAAACTCTTGTTTTTTTGTCCAGCCAGAACTATCGATTTCAGTAGCAATTTCATCAATTCTTCAATTTTTAGGATTAGTTTTGAGGTCTTGAATTATTACTTCAGAACTAATTTGTTGAGGGGAGTCATAGGATCAGAATTCCTCTGGAGAGTGGTAACAATGCTTCTTGTATTGCATAGAGTTTCCCTCTCGAGAAAAAAAATTGAACTCATCATGCTTATTGGTGACACTTTTAGCAATCTGCTCAAAGGTCCCTTTTCCTTGTTCAACATTAGTAAACTTATCGGTTAATTCCATATCAAGAGATTGAAATCTTCCATTCTCTAATGGAGCCTGGATAGAAGCAAATATTTTTAACTCTTTTTCCAACTCTTCTTCGGCAGAACGAGTAAGAAACGGTTTTTCTCTTGATAACTTTTCTCCTCTTCCTTCTAATACTTCATTAAATCCCAAGAGAAAATGTCTTAATCTTTCCGGACAGTCGTTAACGCCAATTCCAGTTGTACTTAGTCATTTGTAAAATCCCCACTTTAATTCTTCTCTAAAAAAAGGTGGTGTACCTTCCAACTTTTCTGAGAGGGCAAGCAATTGGTGTGAAAATAACTCTTCTGCTTTTTTTGGGCTATTAATAATATCCCTTTGTCTTGTACTACTATTATGAACCTGTTTTCTACTTTCTCAATCCCAGTAATATTCAGCAATCTCTATGTATTTTTCTAAACAGTTAATTGTCTGCCAAAAATTATTATGAATGGTGGTTTTTTCATAAGTGGTCATTTGCTTTTGTTTTTTGAACATATTTTTTTGTATTTATACTGCTATATAATAATTTTATTTTTATAACCAGGAAACCTCTCACTCTTACTGTCCCATCTCTCTCTTAATAAAAACAACTTTCTTTGGTTCCATCTCAATAGATACCATATTTGCTGCCGGTTCAACTCATAGAATGGGCTTTAATTGGTGTTCGAAGGCTAATTTTTTGCTTTCTCGGGATATTTTTCTCAATTTTGCTGCCACTCAAAACTTGCCTTCTTTTTTAAAAATATTAATAATGTCTAACGCTAACCTAAAAAGATCAACCAAGAAGTGAATTTACATTGGAGTGGGGCTAGTATTTATTTTAATGGTAGCGGGGATTGGTTTTTGACTTTGAAATAAGAGTCAAAAAAGTTCCCCTAAAACTGACCCGGTCGAGGAGGAAGATGAAGATATAAACCCGGAAGAACTTCCTCCCAAGATAAAAGAGCATCGAAAAAAAGATTGAAAAAACAAATTAACGGGTCTTTCTGATTATTATATTCCATCCTTACCGGACAATATTTCGGTCTCCTGAGCCAAAGATGAGTTGCTGGAAGCACTTTGACAA